GGGTCCAGGCTGGGGATTCGAACCCGCCACCTTAGGTGTACGTGGCTGGCGCCTTAGCTGGTTGAGCTATAGGCGCTGAGCCATTGTGCCATTTTTCATGTTGCTTAGTCTGAGCAAGGACTGAGAAACGCAAGGGCTTAGGCTTGTAGGGCAATTAACATTGAAGCTGTGTCCTCGTTAATTGCTTCTGACACCCAGGATTCAGCAGGGGTGTCCCACTGCTGGCTTTCAAGATGCATGTGCCTCTCAGCTAGAGATGGCTGGGAACAAGAGTACATGTGAAGGAAAGCCTGTTTAGAAACCATCCTTCACACTTTCTGAAAAGGCGAACATTGAAGTTCAGGGAACCTGGGGAAGAGACCTTACCAGTACACTTTAGGATGAGAGGAGCCAGCCAAGAAAAACCAACGTGTATAGGTCTTAAAATTGTCAACTTTACAGACGTCAGTGCTTCTCCCCTTTGGGTTGTGGCATGATGCTCAGCCTAGGATGTCTGGGATGGAACTGGCTTTTCTAGCAAGCACTAGGAGATGTGGCTGTGCTGGCCATGCTCTGAGTGGCACTGGCATTGCACACTGGATGGGGCACAGGGCTCAGCCACTCAGGGAGGGGAAATGATAGCTCCCTGGAGGGATGGAAAGGGAGGAGCCAAAGAGAACTGTGAGGCACTAGACAGAGACAGTGCCCTGGAGTGTCAGGAGGCAGGAGGGTGGGGTTAGTGGCTTGTCATCTGTGGGAGGCTGGCAGGGTGGGGCTGGCGTCCTGCATGGTGTTTACAGTGTAGTGGCTCAGGGATCAAAGAAGACATCTCTGTGCAGCTGGTGACTCCACCTTCGGGTTTAGAATTATGGGCTGTGTGGTTTCATCAAAACAGCTATTTTGATTTTGAGAACATTTTTAGCAGATGAATTATATCCTTGCATATTGCCACTTTTAAGAGGCAACAAAAACACATTCTAGTGTTTGTGTGTTTAAAGACACAGGGGCTTGCTCTTTTGTCAGGCTGGAGTACAGTGGTGCAATCACAGCTCACTAGACCCTCCGATTCCTGGGCTCAAGCTGTCCTTCCATCTTGGCCTCCCAGAGTGCTGGGATTACTGGCTTGAGCCACTTCCTGGCCCAAACCACACATTCTGATGACTTAATGAATTAGAGGCTCTCCTACCCCCATGAGAGGTTGAGACTCTCCTTATTCTGCATGGTGGCTGACAATGGTCTCTTACCCATTCGGAAGCTTCTCCTAAGGCCCAACAAGTGAAGTCATTTATGTTTTTTTTATGCACCCTACAGATTCTTCGAAATAATTTGTCAACAAGAATTAAAGGCTGAGGATTATTGCCAGGGTCCAGCCTGGCTTTTTAGGAGTGTCTTGTGGGGTTGCCTATGAGAACAGTTGGAATAAGGATGGCTGGGAGGTGTCTTCAAGCCTCAGGGCAACTTAAGCTTCATCCCAGCATGGCCCCTTCTGTTTTGAGGTCTGCTGCTGGGGGCAACTGTCTGCACCAGAGGCTACTGGCTAACACTCCCACAGATAGCTTAGTAAGCTTAGTTATTTCTGTTTATTGATTTATTCATGAGTGCCATGATTATTTAATTTACTGAGTGCTTATCTGAGGTACTGTCTGCAGGAAGTTGAGCAAAGGAGACAAACTCATACAAAATAGTCTGAAGAGCTTAAAAAATATGGGTGCACGTGGCTCCTAGTGTTGAGGCAAAGAGCTATATTCATATTGGTCCTTGCTTGCTGTCTCTGCCCTGTAGGGTGAGGGCAGAAAGTAAATAAACCTGTCCCATAAAAGGGGTCAGCAAAAAACTGCTATTTCCACTGGTGCTGAATACTTAAGACCAAGGCTGGCTCTCTTGTGAGTTTGCAGCCAGAATCCACACAAAATCTGTGGTCCAGAAGCCTTGATGGTGCCTGTACATTAATGTGGTTGACATCTAGCCAGAGAGGCAGGTGTCAGGTGGGGCCATTCTCTACCACTCCCCAGAGTTTAGCTGTTGCCACAAAGGAAGTGGTTGCTCTACCCCTCTCTGGGGCATCACCCTGGATTGGATTGTGTGTCTCACCTCCTGCCATGCTTCCTCCAGAGTCATCTTCACCTTTAAGATCTGCTCATTCATTTGGTAAAGTCCCTGTAGAAAACAACAAAGCCCATACCTGCATCTCTGAACCCAAAAGACCCCACTGGGTGTTCTCTGGCTGTGGAATCTGCAACCTGGCAGAGGGCTGGCCCTCCTCTGGAACACTCTGGCCACTGGCTGGAGCCCGTGCCCCAAGCCTTCCACCCTCCCCTGGCTGAGTCTGTCCCTGTTGCCCAATGTTGTCTCTGAGTCAGCATGAAGCTGAGAGAGGAGATAGGGCAGGCCTCCTGCTTCCTGCTTCTCCTCAACCAAGGTCATCTTGGGGATCAGACCATGCTCTGTCTGGCATCCTCTCTTCTCTCTACTTTCTGTGTTTTGATGTAGGGAGGTCCAGAGCAGCATCTGTCACAGGGTTAATTTTACGAGTTCATTGATGCTCATGTTTGGGAGAACAGCCCTCACCTCATCCCTTCTCCAAGAAAGTGATTTTGGCCTAAGTTTCCATCCTACTTGGGAAAATAATTTCCTGATGTTGAAATGAACTTTGTTCACACACCTAACTTTTTAGAGCAATAGTTTTCACTCATTTATGTGGGAATCCATTATTTGTTTGCTTATTTATTTGAACTAAAAGGCTTCATGAAGTTGCATTGGCAGGACGGGGAGCCCAGGAAGCAGCTTCCTGCCTGGGTACAGAATCTGCTGGAAAGCACCCTGGGCCCTTCCCAGGAAGGACAGTCCCAGCACCTCTGACCTGAGAGGAGCAGTTAGAAGGCAAGGGAAGGTGGTGCCAGAGGAGTCACCACCTCACCAGAGGAGAGGAAGGTATGGCTGCTATACACTCCACACAGCTTCAGAGCTCTGGTCTGTCCAGTTAAGTCAGTGTCTCCTCTCACCCAAAGGAAGAAGTGGGATGCTCTTCCCTCCACCGGGATGGAAGGGCCTACCATTTCATAAGATCCTGGGTCTGTGAGGAGCCAAGTTCTGACCACCTGGCTGCCCTGGCAGCAATTCCCTCTCACAGGGAGGCGCTGGCCCCTATAGCAACGCCCCCACTGCCTCTCCTCTGTCTACACTCTCATCTGGAGGGGAAGGGGCCTCCTAGCATGGCACAGGCATGGCTGGTTTCTTTGCCCCTCCACCCACGTGCTGCCAACCTCCACAGCACCAGCTCTTAAGAGTTAGGTTATGTGTTAAGAGCTATGTTTGTAGAAAACTTCCTTTTGTTTAAAAAATTGTGATTGCTCCAAAAATAGTCTAGAATTTATAGATAAATGTCACTGTGGTGATTATTTCTGAGCAGTGGAATTATGAGAGGTTTTTTGCTCTTCTGTTTGTTGTCTCTTTTTTTTTCTTTTCTTTTTTTTTTTTTAGAGACAGAGTCTCACTTTGTCACCCTTGGTAGAATGCTGTGGTGTCACAGCTCACAGCAACCTCCAGCTCTTGGGCTTAGGCGATTTTCTTGCCTCAGCCTCCTGAGTAGCTGGGACTATAGGTGCCCACCACAATGCCCGGCTATTTTCTTGTTGCAGTTTGGCCGGGGCCGAGTTCTAACCCACCACCCTCTGTATATGGGGCCGGCGCCCTACTCACTGAGCCACAGACACCACCCTGTTATGTCTCTTATATGTTTGTCTCTTATGTATTTTTAACATAAAATGAGAAGTTAATAACTAAAGGAACAAAGACAAACTGAGTGAAGAATGTTGCATTTGGCCTGTGGAAGGAGCAGTTTGGTCAAAGACATGAAAGTTTCTTTCTGTTCTTACTGAAAGATGTAAATTGCTCAGAAAATAGTGCTTTTGTGTGGTAGAAATGACTAAACTGAGAAAGACCTCAACAGTTCCAAAGTTGTTCAGGAGGGGAGAAGTTACTTGGGGTTGGAAACGGAACAGGGCAGGAGGAAGTTCGTGGTTTGGAGACAGACTGTTCTTTCCCTCAGATGCTGTTAATAAAGTCCAGCTGCTGACTGAGGAAACAAGACTTGGAAATAAGGAGACTTACTGGGAGTAATATTTTCCTTCTGAACATTTACTTTTCTCTCTAATTTCTCAAGTTAAAGCTTTAAAAAAATCTGTTTGACACAAGGGGGGACCTCAGTATGAACCTGAACATTCCATACATATCCTCTCTGAGCCCTGGGGTGCTCCGGGGGAGGACCCATCCTCCCGGAGCCCTGGGGTGCTCTAGGTGGGGGGCCCATCCTCCCTGAGTCCTGGGGTGCTCTGGGTGGGGGATCCATCTTATCTAAGCCCTAGGGTGCTCCGATAGGGGTCTATCCTCCCTGTGTCCTGGGGTGCTCTGAGTGGAAAGACCATGTGAGTAGTCCATTGTAGATGATGGGACTGTGCTGAGGGTGCTAGGAGGGGCAGAGGAGCCAAACCTGCTTCCCACTCCCCCATTCTACCAGTCTCCTCAGGGAGCCATGGGGGAGAGAACAGGAGACTTTCCCTGATGACCTGCTCTGTCGGGGCCCAGTGCAAGGTCTTGGGGTTCAAGACATCTCGACCACATCTGCCTTGTGTCCCCTCCTGCAGATGCTTGCTGCTTTAGGTGCTGTGGAGCTAGTGTGGCCAGTGTGATAGCTATTTCTTTGGGGATGTGGGTGTGGAGGGTGGGAAGGG